TGCCCCCCACAAATTCCCAGTTCCCCCAAGTGCCCTCCCCCACGAACGAATGGATATTGAACAAGGCTTGCCCCCAAAAGCCCCACCACTGAAAGCTGATGCCCCCATAAGATGCCGGTGTCCCCTTGTACCCCCCCCACTAGAAAAATCCTAGCTACGCCACTGACTGCCATGTACTAACACTACAATAAATTCCCAAAGAAATATAAACTTACGATGGCAAAATACAAAACCTCCCGCAAGTTGTTGTGCACAAATCAACGCCAAGTTGAAATTTGATACCTGGCATGACATCACAGGTTTGTTCATGAATATGCAAATTGCATTAGCATAAGAACTAAAAAGGCTCCTTACTGGGGCACAAAGGTGCTTCACAACAATTGCGTAAAATTACATTGCATGAGTTCTTTGAGTGTAATATAAGGGTGTTTTCGAAACGAGTGGATTCGGCTTAGACTTCGGTTTCGCTAGTTCCAGTCAGAGCTTGGACATGTGGTTTCGAACGCTGTTTCAAAATGGCTGGAACTAGCGAAATCAAAGTCTAAGCCGAATCCGCTCGTTTCGAAAACGCTCTAAGTAAATTTACATTTTGTTTGGCAGAACAGTTCTTGATTCAAAGCAGTTGATTTACAACAGGTCACTTTAAGCTCAAAGCAATAAAAGCCAAAAACAAATTTCAAAAACACTATACTGTTTGATCGTTTTGTGAATGCCAACCACAAATGATAACATTGATGCAGTAAAAGAAAGCAAAGCTACATCGAAACAAAGGAAAAGGTTTTGAGGGATTGACGTTTCGATCTCAGGAGAACCTTTTCCCTATAAGTATGAGAAGGATTCCGCTAGCGGATTCGAACGTCGGGGCTGCTAACCTTTTCAGTTTGTATTTCTCAAGTCACTGTAGTCAGAAAGCAGTTTGTAGCTTTTTTGTATGTTACGTTTCAAACCAAAACAATGCGAAAAACCACAAACCTCGGCTGTGTATTCTCACCCGCATCTTGGAGTCACTGCTGACGTGACATTTCAAGCAGTTAGTAGGCCGAAATTCATATTTGATACTGTCTGTTTTGTTGGATCCACATTCACTACAGTTCCTTGTTGCATGCGGAAAGCTTTCATTCTGTACTGTGAAATACAAAAATGTGACTGCTCATAAATGGAACTTGCTCCATGATATACGGTTATTGTCTCTCCTTCAAACCACTTACCAATTTGAAGCACCAAAGCCCAGCTGGCCTGTGCGATGCTCCTTGAAGGAGAAAACCAATCATTCATGTAACCTGACCATGTTGTTCCTTCCATGCGACCCACTCCTATGTGACGAACAGGTCTCCTTGCGTGAAACATTCGACCAGACTTGTAATATCACAAGCCTCGGCGTCACTGTCAGCGGCGCCCCTTGTGATGTTGTCAATCGTTGCTCAACATTTTGCAATTCGATCACATTCCCGGACGGAGGCCAAAATGCCTGCGGAAACAGGTACCGATTGAGGGAAAAAAGTCTAGTACTTAAATGTCATTCTTCTGCCGGTACGGTTGCTGCAGGTGTCTTTCAATTTCCAGGGATATGTTAAGCCGTGTTGCCCAAACAGCCACCATTTGACAACTGCTTTGAGAGCCATCGGACTCGCACCTGTTCTTGATCGGCATCCCGAGGACAAATTCCGCGCCGTCTGTTGGCACCTCAGTGCCGTTATTCAGTCTCTGTCGTCCTGCGCGCTCCGGTCTCACTTTCCCGCAAGCGCACTGTAGGAATTCACCACGTAATCGGATATGCCAGAAAAATCGAAACCCTATCCGCGGTCCATATACGCTCAAAATCCCATCTTGCATAAACCGTGCGAAACAATCATTGTTCATCGTTCCAATTTGTTTTCGCATGCTCTCACCTTTTGTCCAATAATTACCAGTAGGCAACATCACGGTGACTCAAGTTATTACGAACTGTGGCTGCATATACCTAACCCCCTAGGGTGTGTGTGTAAAATCATATTGAAATAGAAGGATTTAGGATTGTTAGAGTTAATACAGGTACTTCATGAAGAATCGCCGGGGGAATTCGATATTCACGGCCATTAACAGAGCTGTAACCGCGTACTTGTATTTTAATGACCGTCTCTGTCCACGAATTATCCCCCTAGCTCAGTAAGATAACAACCGCGTGCCTTAACGGTATTTTCCCGCTCCAGGTTCCTCAATATGAATAAACAAATCAAGATCTGATTTCCTCTGCCTAATGAAAAGACCACCTGCATGACCTTAATGTATAGTGGTGCGGTGGTTTTTCTTTACAGTTGGAACAGTCGAAGCAGAAAGGGTCTCACAGTAACAAGGAGCTTATTTCAATCAACATAAACTAGTGTCCAGATTTCATGCCGACGATGTCTTATCATCGGTACAATTACAAGCGTCCGTTATAATTAAGAACACATTGTATCATCTTTTCAGCAAGACATCGGGAAGACGAAGTGATTTGATTAAAAACTGCATAAATGCAGTAATTACTGTCTTGTTCAGTATACATTTATAAATTTCCATACACCATATTTACAATATGAGAATTTTCACATTTTAAACGTATTTTGACAGCATTCCAGTTGAGTGGATTTCCTAGGGGGAAAGGATTTTGTAAGGGGAAAAGACAATTGAATTGTAGAACATTATACAGATGTTCTTGAAAAATGACCTGCGCGGATTTCTCTTGATTTTCAAGATATAGTGTTTTCCTAAAGAGACTATTTGTATTCACTTGCCAAAAGGTACGTAGATAATGCACTTTGTATCAAATCCACTTTTGCGTCAGATCAATCGAAAACGTTCGCACGCTAGAAAATTCTGAGAACGTGACTTTTTGAGATTTTTTCCTTTCCTGGTGTTGAATAAATTAAAAAGCCGCCGGATTCTTCAACTGCCGTGTCAACTGGGCCATCGGTTGGAGAATAGACCATTCACTCGCAGAGCCAACTGCATTGCACTATAAAGATGCAGCATATTCCTGGTATAGCAACGGAGTCATGTCTGCGGCCTGGTTCTAAAGATGCAAATAAAACGCATGGTTGACAACAGCCAAGTGTGGGCTGCACTTTAGTTCTGGTGTATTTTTATTCATTAATTTATGTGGCTGATCCTCTTGTTCCTACAGATAGTGATGCATCAATTGAGGCTTACTCGGTAGGATTTATCCAATTTCCAGATATCTATCACGATGTGGTATATTCTGACGAACTTTCGGCCTCTAAAGGCCTTGCTACCCAACGCAGCTTTAATTGTCGAGTGCTAGAATGAGGGGGTTGAACATTAACTTTTTGTCTCCATGGCTTGCCTTCCAGGCTCATTTGTCATTATTGGTAACCGACATCAGATGCCTTAGGCCCGTCGTCTGTACTAGTCTTTACACATGGCCCCGCAATTTTTAAACTAATTACGATGGGCGATGCAATCCTTCACGACAACGCACGGCAGGAAAGATTGTCTTGCAAACGGGTAAAGTCCCAACAAAATCTCGTAGTTAAACTCTGACCTCACAGTGATGGAAATTCCTACAGACACCAGCATATTTATTTTAAATACTTTCTCCGTTCGTCTTTTCATGCTCAAAATTTCCCCAATTTTCCAGTCATAGTTTTTGATTTGGTAAAGCCAATAGTTTCTGAATATTGCAACATTTAAGAAAACCCAGTTCGACTCTGAACAGAGGCATTCGGGACTTCACTGAAAGCGAGTGTTTTTAGGCAGCTTGTCCATTGGTGCCATTCAGTGTTACAGTGTCCACCTTCCACTTATGTGCATTTTCTTTCACAAAGGCTCTTTGCAAGCGCTTGCATCAACTTTATCATGTTTTTGTCGTAAATGGCAACTTCTCAATCGTCAGTATACAAAGGCTGGTCGATATTTTGTACGAATGAGAATGTTAGCTAATTCACAGCACGATCATCTTAATGTGAGCGTCCTTCGCTCTGATTACGTCACAAGGGTGTCTTTAGGGGAAATGGACTATACCTTTTCCAATCAAAGTTAAATACCAAAGAACCAATGCATGCATTCAAAAACTCATGGTCATGAAAACATTAAATGCCAACCTCGTTAAAGGAAGCAAACTTCACTGTTAACTGTGACATTTTCCCTACTAGAAGCAATTAGATTAAACCTCAATAGGTCACTCTTTCAACGAGTAAATTTTAAGTGTCTAATAAACCCGAAATTGAGATGGGACAAGCAAAATGTCATTTTGGCATTAAGACTTGATATACATTGTATGACACGCCATTGAATCAGTAGGCGAAATTCACACGATCTTACTGTAATTCAAATTCTTTTATTTCAATTAACAGTCGGAACGAAATACTCATGAGCAGAGAAAAACAACGTACTGATTGAGTTTGACAAGCCAGCAAGTCTTTTTTTTTTCTTGGGAACAAAAGAGAAGATGATAGATATTGTTGACGATGACAAGCAGTGCACTGAGATGGTGTCATTGAGCTTCCACCCTTGGTGCTCATCAGTGGATGATCCAAAATGCCGCGAATCTATGAGACCACGACCTGATGGGTTCCATGATTCATGCAGCATTTCACAGCAAGTACAGTCTTCCTGTATAAGGTGTTGCTATGTCGGGGTGAACCTAAGTCCTCGACAAGAGGGCTCGACAGGTTCATCATGTGGTTTGTGTGAGGCTGTCACTACTGTCAGATTATGCCTTGTAGCGTGGAGTGGCATATTTCAGTGTACCTCCTTGCTCAGAGCACAGAAGAGCGATAAATCTAGCGAATTCCGAAGGCTGCCGTCCCAAAAATAATTAAGGAAACTTCCATAGTAGAAAAAGTATATACCCTCCTATATGAAAGTTGCATACATAACTGTGGACATCTTGGGGGAGGGATGTTCCAAATGGGGTCCCCCTAATAAAAAAAGGGGAAAGGAAAACAAACTAACAAGAAAGAAGGAGAGGGAATGAAAGGAAGCAATTTGCTTATGCTTTGGAATTGATCCCGTCCGCTGTTTGCAGTTTGTCAGTTTGCTGCTAATGAGTACGTTGCCTCTCTATCCGAAGGCCTTTGAGCCTTTCTGGTGACGCCCATGGTTACTCTCACCAAGAAATAATCACCCCATCTTTTCCATGCCGCGCCCTCTTCCCTTAGATTTTCAGTAGATTTTCTCGGGCTTAGCGATCAGTCTTCCTTCCATTACTTATAGAAACCTCTCCGATACTTATCACACATTTGACAATTTCCACATGACAGTTGTGAACTTCCAAACTATTGTAGGGAGCATGCATCATACCTCGTTGAGGGAACTGGTCTTGATGTCTAAAAGTACACCTTTTGCAATTGACATTGAATTTGCAAAACAAAACGCACTTACGGAGGTGCACCAATGCATCATCTAAGCTGTCAGTGGGACGGGAATTAAAGGGAACAACTTTTAGGTAAATTAATAAATGGCTACTGTAATTTGTTATGCAGACCAGTTAACTTATTTGAATTAATCTTCCAAAATAAGACAGCCACCTAATAGTTGCTATAGTAGTCTTTGAGTTGGACTACTGCTTGCAGGACGATACCAAACACATTAAACTTCAGAATTCTTGGAATGGTTCTGTTAATTCTGTAACCGATCAGTGCACTGATTTATTCTTACCTTTACTTACAGGATACAGAGTGCTTCTTAAAAGTAATCTCGAAGATTTTGCTTTTTGTCTCGGCTTTCCCTTTGAAGTGTGAGCCTACAGTAGGAAACACTTTCAAGGTTTATTCTTGTACTCAGAGTGGATCACCTGGTCTATTTGTGAATGTCGGCTATCATACAGGTTCAATTCCATCCCAGCTTTGGTACGTAATTGCCAAGATCAATCAGACACTTTGCCAGTGCTGCCTGTAGAACAGTTTCCTCTAGATTACGTTCAAAGGAAATCAAACGCCAGTTAATAAGACGCCAGTTCCTACGTTAACTAATCATGTCTGGGCAGATTTTACACTTGCTGGTACAAACGATCACGTTCTTCTGGCCAATTTCTATTCGTTGGGTAGGGAACGGGTTACATGTGCTCGAGAATATAATATCAAATCAGTGCTCTGAAATGTACATGTGCTCCCTGGTTCGATCGATTAGGCGTTCTCCTATGATACGTGTCCATCAATAAAAGCTTAGAATTATATGCCGACATTGTTATTCGGCTTTTTGGTACCAGGAGAACGGGGTGGGGCAACACTTGATGTCAGCTTGAAATTATAACTCCCAAATGGTTCTAGTTTCAAATTCTTGATATAAAATATGACATTTCCGATTTGTAATGGCATACCTCATTTTGCTGAGTTCAATGATGCTATTTTATTTGATGCCAAAATTTCACCAAAAATCTGACACCTGTAATCCCAATCCTGATGATAGAAAATCGCCAATGGTGGAATAAGGACTCTGATTTTATTCTGCTTGAATTGATAATTTACAAATTTGTGAAGTTAAAACCATTCTGTATTTGGGTGGATGTAGCTTATATCGGGGGGGGGGGGTTGATAAATGGATGGGTGTAAGGTGTGCCACAAGCCAAGGGGACAATATGAGGAATGTCCCTGTCAGGTATTGACATTCACGATGTGTGAAATCGTGAAATTTATGTAATGCTAGAAGTTTTCTGAT